TGGCAACTGAACGAAACGACGTCAACACCCTAGTATTCAGAAAGAGACAGAGAGAGAGAGAAGAGGGGAGGAGTTGATCTTGCGAGAACTTCGGGCGGGTGAGAATAGCCACTTTCTTTGCATTTAGTATAGCACACCTAAAGCAAAGACTAAAATCGTTCATGTAAACGAGCCTTCGGAGAAATAGAGCCGGCCTTTAATTTTTGTCTACTAATCAGACTCGAGTCCGAATAGTCACTTTGAGCTTTCACACTCCACTGTGTCTAAATCTAGATGTAGATGTAGACTAGATCTAGATCTAGATCTAGATCTAGTACACTGATGTGAAACGAGAGGCAGGGCCAGGCAAGTAATTAAAGTGAAACTAGACTAGAATCTAGGCTAGACTACACTACATAGATCTAGATAGATCTAGAGACAGATCGGAAGGACTTCCGTAACGAGCGACCACCCCATCAAACACAATAAAGAAGAGGCCTAGACCTAACCCTACCCCTACCCTTACCCCTACCCCAAGCCCTCAATTCTGCTCTGTCTCATTGTGGTCGCTCGTTACGGTTACGGAAGTCCTCCCGATAGATCTACACCACAGAATTCTACACTTAGTGTAGAATTCTGTGATCTACACACACATGATTCCATATCAGCTAGATCTAGAGATCGCCTTGAAAATGTAATTTCACTGAAAGAATGTTCATTGAAGTATAACCAATGTTTAAGGAGTCCCATTTATTACTCGAACAACTAACCAGGAATTTGAAGTTACTGACTAAAGTACTAAAGCTTTGGTTTTAAACAGTAATTCGTTTTTAGTCAACACAGTTGAAGCCGGCGGCAGAGTTGAGTTGTGTTGCAGTTCAAACACTTGAAAATGCTATGAAGAAAAGAGAACGTTTATTTAAGACAAAGTCAAAAAGAATATTGGTACAAAAAGTGATATTCATATTTTAGGTGACGCTCGGAATAATATTATTATTATTTATTATCAGAAGTTGGGGGCAGCAAAATCAAAATAATTATTAAAATTGTTTTGGTTCTTTTTACTTATGCATCCGACTCATGTTCACATTTTATATTATACTTCTTTTTTTAGTAGTATTTTGCATTCTGAACACGAATATGGCCTTCATTTTTGCCTCAAACCAATAGTTATTGAGCTTTTGGTGTTTGAAAATGATAAAGTTAACAATATTTCAGGGGGGCATGCCCCCCCCCCCCCCCCGACCTAAAGAATCTGGGGAGTTTCAGGAGAGCAAACCCCCCCCTCCCCCCCCAAACCCAGGGCTATTCCGGGGTGAAAAGGAAAATTTGGGGAAAAAAAGGAAATATTATTTAAAAATTGGCACTTGGGGGGAGGGGCGAGAAAAAGGGCCCCCAAAATTTTAAAAAATTTTTTTTTTGTTTTCGCCCCCCCCCCCCCTTTGCGAAAGAAAAAAAAAAAAAAAAAACGTCCCCGCCCCCCCCCCCAGGAGAAGAAGTCTTTTTTTTTAACATCCACCCCGAGTGGCCATACGTGTGTTCTACAGGAAAAAATATATCAGTTTAGCCCCCTCAAATCAATGCATCTATGAGTGGGTGCATAAGTAAAAATTTACTAGTTCTTTCTAGGATAGGAAGATTTAAATCTACATTGAAAACTGTTGTTTTTGAGTATGCTAAGATAATATGCCATCATAATATTATCATCTATTATGTGGGTGTTTAACCCTTTTCTTTCCACAGAAAGTTCTCCTATCAATTTGTGAAGAATGTCAGTACAATGATTTCATTTTTTTAGTCACAGTGAATTCCACTCGACCATTCATCTTTATTTTGAGGGAATAGCTATTTAATATGACTACAGTACAACACCTTTATGATTTTTATTGCAGTAGTCTGTGAATTTCCTGGGGAATATCTAACGATGGAGAAGCAGTCTAAACTGTATGAGGTTTTTCTTTCTTTTCTTTTTTGTTTTTAAACAACAACTACCAAAAAAACACGTTGTCGAAGTGCATGATACGTTAAAGCGGTGGACCAAAGAAACTGTAAACTCCTTGACAACAGCGCAAAGTGTGTGGGTAAAAATTTTGTTTAGGGTATGAGGAAATGGAGAGTATCAAGGATAATTTCTAAAGATTGTGTTTTAGAAGTTCCCCGTCAGGCCTCTAATGCTTTTGCTTTCGTGGTTGTTTTTTTTTAAATTCAAGTTTGGGGTTTAGTTTTCTATTGTTTTCTTTTTTTTTAACTCAAAACCTACAATAACATGAACAAGATTATATCCTTTAAGTCAAGGGTCACCAAGCTTTTCTTCAAAACGAGCCGGATGAATGAGAGGAAACCGGGAGCTGTCCCGAAAACGACATGGTGTAAGCTATTTTATTCATTACAATCATACATCTAATACATAAATTATACGGAAAACCGACCTGCCTAGTGATTTATCTATACACAAAATATGAAATACACCAACACAGAAAAGAAAAGGCAATAAACATTTGAAAATAAGATCAATGTCACATTTGGTTCCTGAAAAAAAAATGTTTTAAGATCAAGATTTTGGACCCGTTAACTCTACCTCGGTGTATTTGTTTTCAAATGAATTTTTTTGTGGATTTTTTTTCCATACGAGTCACTTATCACCTTGTCTGTGGTATAGGCCTATGTATAAATTACTAACAAGTATTTATTCGATTAAAAAGAAATTCGACAAAAAGTTAGGTTGGCTCAGCTGTGCAGATATACAGAAAACGTTTTTGAAGCTAATTCGAGGGCAAAATGGGTCATCCCATCCAAAATAAGGCTTATCTTTCTATCCTGCCTTGAAGTATATTATTGTTATACGAATGGTCTATCCCCTATACAATGGGCTAACACACCAAGCGTGTCAACTCTTTATTATTGAGTTAAATGGACTAGCTATGATTAATGAACATAGACATTTTGTGTATAACAGAAGCTTGGTTACGCAAAGAAGGTGATGAACACGTATTAGTCGCAATATGTCCGCCAGGCTGTGAAATAAAACCCTTTCCACGCAAGAACAGAGAAGGGGGAGGCATAACCTTCTTTTTTTTCGCTCCACCGCATCACCACCTAAAGCCAAGGAATGGCTAGAAACACCATGCACATCGCTTGAAGCTGCTTCCATAAACGTTGTGACTGATAACAAATACAATCTTACAATTACATGTCTCTATCGCCCTCCAAAGAGCAAAAAGAATGTTGTGAATTTAGAAACGTTTTACATAGAATTCAACCAACTCGTATGTTGTTTAAGGAAGAGAGGTCAACCATATGATTTGTGGTGATCTAAACATACACTACGACAACCAAACATGTGCAAATACAAGAAAGTTTATGTCTATTCCTGAACAGCACGATCTTATTCAACATATTTCTCTGCCAACGCAAAAGCATGAACATACACTTAATCTGATCATCACACCGAAAAATGCACCTCTTTTCAAGAACATAGAGGTCACAGACAGAGGTATCTCGGACCACCTATTACTAGTAGCTGATTTGAACCTCAGTAAACCATACACCGTATCAAAATGTGTTCAATTTCGTAACGTGAAACAATTCGATGTCTCATCTTTTAATTCGGATATAAACTTCGTTCTCAGCTCTACGCCTGACACCACTGTAGATCAATTCTCTTCAGTTCTGCGCAATGCATTGAACAAACATGCTCCCGTAGTCACTCGTAACATCTCACCAAGACCAGCATCTCCTTGGTTTACTCTCGAGATCAAAGAGGCCAAAAAACAACGAAGGAAAGCGGAGAGACAGCTTAGAAAGACGGGCCTCCACGTCCACAAACAGATTTTGGCAACTGAACGAAACGACGTCAACACCCTGATTGAAAACAACAAGAAGCAACTCTATCTTAACAAATTTCAAAATGTAAACTCCTGCAAGGAACTTTTTCAATTATCTGATCAATTATTGGTAAGGGAGAATTGTGCACGGTTTCTACCTGGAACTGATAAAGAACTTTGTTGTAATTCTCTGCACTTTTCAATGATAAAAGTGAAAGAATAAAAACTATTTAGACTCTGATGTGTTAGATGTAAATACAAATATAGTTGTTGATGAAAGTCTTGCAATTATGAACAGATCAACATAGAGCGAATTTAAAGTGGTATCAGAGAAAGATGTCATTAAGTATATCAAAGAGACGGTCGCTAAAACATGCGACTTAGACCCAATACTATGCCTACTTCATTGTTAGTTACGTGCATTGAAGATCTCGCACCATATGTTACTCGTTTTATTAATATGTCACTCAACAATGGAATCGTACCTGATCTTTTCAAACAAGCCATTGTAAAACCTTTACTTAAAAAACAAGGTCTTGGTGAAAACGACATGAGAAATTTTAGGCCAGTTTCCAATCTTAACTTTTTATCAAAAATCCAGGAGAAAATCGTTTTGTGTTAAGTTCAACAACATCTAAAGGCCAATGACAAGGTAGAACCTTTTCAATCTGCTTATAAAAGGCACCATAGTACAGAAACCGCCCCTTTAAAGGTATCATCATATGTTTTAAATGAAATTGATAATTTTAAAAAGTCTGTGTTTTGGTTCTACTTGATTTGTCTGCGGCGTTCGATACCATCGACCACAAAATTTTACTAGAGAGATTGGAAAAGTCATTTTTACTATCAGGTACTGTTCTAATGTGGTTTAAATAATATCAGAGAAAATAGATTGTTGTCAGTGAAAATTGGCAATGATGTGTCAGATAGGTTACCTCTAAAGTATGGAGTTCCTCAGGGTTCCGTCCTTGGTCCTGTCATCTTTACAATGTACACCAAAGTCTGTCACCAATAATTTCTTCATATGCCCTGAATTACCATCTTTATGCAGACGATACACAAGCCCTCGGGGCGGTGCCACTGACTGTAGTGTCTTTAGGCCATTCCCAAAAGGGGGATATTTCTCGTTCAAGCACAGTAAAATTGTAAATGGGCTGATTCACGTCACGCTCATAACTGTGCCTGATCTACAACAGAGAACTGCTGCTTTTCTTTCCTAATCCTTACTATTGTCATTTCCTCTACTTCTTTTGTATGTTTGTCACTCTCTTGTGACCTGCTATTTTGGGGTGCCTTGATAGTCGAAGCAGACCTTGTGCTGTTGAAGCTAGAGAGGTGAGCAGTCTAAGTCTGATTCCCAGTAAAGACTTCTCTGTTGACACCCACCCCTTGGCGTTCATATGACCTTAAAACCCTCTACTATAAAAATAAAAAGACGATACGCAGCTGTATGGATCACTACAACTGACAATGTACACAATTTCATAGATAAAATCGCCAGATGTATCAATGATATAAGAAAATGAATGCTCAAGAACAAATTAAAATTAAATGAGGATAAGACCGAAATATTATTTCTTCGTAGCAGCGCAAGCAATGAAATCGACAATATCAGAATAAACATCAATGGCCACGAAATATCAGCCCAAACTAAAATAAAGAATTTAGATGTAGTGCTAGATCAAGATATGTCAATGGAATCCTATGTATCCAATCTTTGTAAAAATCTATATCTCCAACTGAAGAAAATAGGGAGCATTAAGAAATATATATCTGTTGGTGTCACCAAAACTTTAATATCATCACTTATATTGTCAAGGCTTGATTATTGTAATTCCTTACTGGCTGGTGTACCTGATGAACAGTTACAACAACTACAAAGAGTACAAAATATTGCTGCCAAAACAATTACTAAGAGACTAAAGCCTGATCTTGTGACTCCTATTTTAAAATAATTACACTGGCTCCCAGTGAAAGAGCGTATAATATATAAAATCTGTTTGATTTGCTACAAGTGCTTACATGATTTATCACCTGACTATCTAAA